ATGGTAAAAGATGACATCCAGTGGGGAAAAACTGATATAGCAACTTTATCTAAAACATAAATAATGTGATTCAATAAAGAATCTGGCATCTCCACATGAGCATCTATTGATTTATTGAAATGAGCTGTACCCTAAACCTGTGACTCTTTCAAAATAAACTAAATCTGACTCTCTAGAAGAAAGGGATCATATAATTATTAATTCTAAATAAAAAAATATTCCCACTCTCACAAGTATTTCCTCATCAAACACTGAGCAAGATAATACAAATAGAAAATTAGGCAACCTAATAATTCATCCTGAATCAAATTTATAATTACTATGAAAAACTCTATATCTATTATCATGACACCAATTTCTATATTAGAGCACATTCAATGTTTTTACTACATATTCCAAATCCAAAATACTCCCTTCTTGCTTCCCTATTAGTTAACAGCATCATAGGAATCTGCCTGTGTAAAAAAAATAGATGAAATTTCAGAGCTGAAAATGTGCTAGAATTGGGTTTTTAATCCATCTATGATCATTGTATTCACTATATCTTTTAATTCTAAGACTTATTTTCACACTCAATAAAATACTTTAGTTACATACATCTTTGGTTTATGTGGATTTAAACAGCCAATTTTACATGTTGGAGAGTTATGAAGCAATCAGGCAAGGTCGTTGCACTGGGTCCACAGTTTCCATGAAGAAAACAAACAAGAGAATCCAGTCTCCATTTCACTGGAAAATTCCCTTAGGATCAGAACCCCAAGAGGAAGAAGCTGTGAGGTATACAGGCACAGCACAAAGAGAGGTACAGCCCCTGATGGAGCAGCTGGAGCCTCTGGAAAGCGAGGAACAATGTGACTCACAAAGACATGAACAGTGGTCTAGACAGGGTTTACATGAGTTCACCATGTGCCATAAATGCCACCCCAATCCTCTCTCCCCTCCTCTACCTTTGCAAGAAGCACTGAGGTGGACCTTGCAGAAGCAAGCCAGCCAACGTGTGAGTGACACAGACATGCTGCAGGGGCAGGGTGTGCCCAGACTCCCTGCCCAGGTCTGTTCCTTGGTTCTGACTACTTCACACACACTCAACTTGTTCAGGCAGCTCTAGCTTCTCAGGCCTCTTTCCTGCCTGAAGAACTTTGGACAGACTGTTCCTTTGCTCAGGGGCCTCCTAGCTGTCTTCACACATACAGCTACCTAGAAGGCATTGCTAGCCTCCTTAGAGACCATCTCCCCTCATTCAATCCCCCTTTTCCCACCAGCATGCTCTGCTACCTTGATGCCTTCAGAACACTCTCACTATTTCAGCTTTCCCACGTGCTGCTGCACTACCTACTGGGCATGAGCTCCAGGAAAGCAAAAAGCTGTACATCTTACTCTTACCAGCGTCCATTTGCTTAGAACAGTGCCTAGCATGTACCAGGCATGCAAATAGTTAGGTGCATGAATACAACAGCACACTGTTTTATGAATAATGAAGGGCTAATAGTTTTTGAAAAACATATTCTGACATCTATCAAACTTAGAATGGAACAGTGGTGATATTCCTAAAATTCTGTAATATGTGTAACAGCTAACACTGCATGCCCAATCTGCTAGCTACACTGCCCCTCAAAATTCAATGTCCCCTTATTCCTTAGAAATAGAAGCCTGAATTTTAGCTCTGGTAGAAAGTCTATCAATTAAATGTAACTCTTTCAAAAAGCCTATTTTTCTCCCTTTTATTTTTCCTCCCTCTGTCTGGATTTGGCTATAATGGCTGGTGCTTTAACAGCTTTTTTGGAACATGAGGTTATGAAATACAAAAATGCAGAATGGAAAAAGAAGCTGCAACTCTGGTGAGCCTCTAAAATGGTCCTAGGTTATTTATAATGGTAAGAAATGAAACTCCTGTTAAAGCCACTGTATAAAATTATATGTAACTGAATATAAAATTTCAGTTTTAAAGATTATATGTGAATGAATTTAATATAATGAGAATGTGGTGGTATGAAGGGAAGGTTTGAATCTGATATGTAACTATTCGTGAAGACATGGTAGGAGGATGATAAAAGCAGGGGTTGTTAAAAAAAAACTAGTATTTTCCTTAAAGCAGTTATTTCCTCCATGTTTTTGTGTTTCACACAGACTGTGTATGGTGACTTCATAGGATCACTGAGCTTATACATATTAAGTCACAGAGGAGACTACACAGCTGCTATGGTTTCTTGAGAGATGACAGAGTGGCTGGAGTCTTCTTAACCCAGTATCACTAAAGTTTTGGATTTCCCATAGTTTTGGGTTTCCATTCGAGTTTTGGTTATTCCACAAATTTCCATTTTGTGAGTCCTATCTGGGTCTGGTTCTTACTGCTACAGTTTGGGCTTTGGATAGCCTTTATTATGTGTTCATATTAATCTTTAGTGGCTAAATAGTAACATTTATTCAACAAATACTAACTCAGTGACTATTTTGTGCCTGGCACAGCTCTAGGCACAGGAAATGCAGCAGTGAACAAGATAGATAAAACTATATCTTCATGGAAACTTGATACCAATGGGAGGGTTAAACAATAAACACTAGAGAACTGAACTATCATATATAACCACATGGTGATAGGGCTAGGATAAAATAAAGCAAGGAAACAGGTTATGGAGTGTAAGGGGGTTGCCAAAGGAAATAAGTAGTAAGTCTCATAGAGAGAGCAAATGGTTGAGCAAAGACTAAAGGTATAAACCATATGGACATCTGGGAGAAGACTATCTGGTCTGCAAGGAACAGTCAGTGCAAAGTCCCTGGATCTTTGGTGTTCTTGGCAGGGAGGTCAATGAAGCTGGGGTAGAGTGAACAAAGGAGAGAGACATAGGATGTGAGGTTGGAGAAGAAAACAAAAGAAAAGGGATAAGGGAGAACAGATTGTGTGAGGCCTTATAAACCACCATGAAAGACTTTGTTTTTACTCTGAGGAAGTTATAAAGATGATGGAGGCATCATCTTCTTAGGAACAACTTAGGTCTTTTTTAAAAAAAAACTTTGGAGAATCATTTATTTATTTATTTATGCATACAAGAACCAGGGTACAGGCCAGAGGTTTGGGGGGTGAGAGGATTCACCAGAGACAGAGTGGGGAGCAGAACAGACAGATTGGCTGAAATACACTGCTGAGTGGAGCAGCGGGCAAGTCAGAAGAGGTCTGCTGCACCATGTGAGTAGCTCCCTGGCTGGCGATCAAACTCATGCTGCAGTGGCTGCGGATAGCTTAATAAGTTGTGTCTTAACCCCTTGTGCCACCAGGGAGGCCCCACAACTTAGGTCTTAAAAGGGTCACTGTGGCTACCATATTGAGAAAGATTACAGAGACAAAGGTGGAAGCAGGACCTGTTGGGAGGCAACGAAATAGTCCAGGCAAGCACTGGCAGTGGTGGCTAGGACCTGGATGGTAGAGGTGAAGGTGGCAGAAGTACCTGAATTCTGAATATGATCTACTGATGGGGTGATGGGGAGGAAATGAAAGAAAAGATTCACATTAGGAGTGGGTTGTAAGGGGAGAAAGTCTCCAGTTTTGAGGTGATTATTAGACATCCAGTTGAGGTTATTAGGTAAGACAACTGAATACACCAGTCCAGACAAGGGAGCCAGGCTGCATGTAAATTTGGTAATCTTTGCACTTGGAAATATTTAAGGCCCCGAGATTAAAGCAAAGCATCAAAAGAGTGTGTGTTGATAAACACTCTGAGAACTGATCTTGGGGCACTCTAAAACTTGAAGGTCAGGGAAGTGAGGTGAGGGGCATCCATTCAAAGAGGCTGAGAAAAAGCAAACAGTAGAGAGTAGGGGTAAATCCACGAGAATGTGGTAACTAGCAAGACAGCTGAAGGAAGTGTTTAGAGTGGAGGAAGTAATCAATTCTATAAAAAGCTACTGATCTCCTCCATGCTTTGTTTTTTTTCTCCACAGTAGTTATTACTGGCTAACAGAGAATGTCAAAAATATATGTAAGGTTTGGCAGGTAAGGCTGCAATGGAGAGCTTGTATAACAATCAAACTAAATCCCAGTCATCTATGTACAAATTCAATGGACAGTTTCTAATGTGAAGGGGGAAAAGGGAGAACTGACAAGTTACTTCAATATAGGTAAAATCTTAGAAGGAACAAAGTTACACTCAGAGGTAATTCTACTTGCTTAGTGTTATTTCTACACAGAATAAGATACAGTACATTATGTGTACTATACCTTTCCAAATGCAGACTCTGCTTTCATCAGAATACATTAAAAGCATTCCTGAAATTGCAATGTTTAATCATAGAAAATTTAATCCTTCAACTGATACTTAAAGTACAGTCTCTATCCTATGATCATCCATATGATTATTCAACTTCCAAAACAGCTCTTCACGCTTAGTAAGTTTAGGAACCTTTGAGAAAGCTAAAATTCTACTGGGTTATTACATTTATTAAAATACCTTTCTAATAAACTCTTCAAAAGCAGAGAAATTCATTTTATATGTCATCACTTTGCTTGCAGGTCTTTCTTTCAAACAACTAGTTTCTTGGAAAATGTTAGCACCTACTAGTAATCTTTGTAACTCTTTATCTAGCGCAGTTTTCAACAATAGCAACAATTAATAGTTAATACTTCCTAAGTGCTCACTCTGTGCTAGTCTTTGTGCTTTAAGCACATTACATAAATTACTCGATTATTATTATGGAAACAATATGCATGTGTTACTGTAAAGCACTATTTTTCTTATATTACAGAAGAGGAAACTGAGGCACAGAGCTAAGTAGTACTCAAGGGCACACATGTAGTAAATGGTAAAACTAGGACTGGAAGCCAAACTCTCTCTCTCCAGAGCCTTAGGTCTTCATGTTTATGTGGAATATTAAATGTTTATTGAAAAAAATCATCAAAATTAATAAACACAGTAACCATTTAATTAGTACTATAAAATAATGTTATTCAGGGATTGTACGATTTTTCCCATGTGTATTTGAAAGGCTGTTTAGTGGATTAACCTCACCTTTTACTTTTTGTTCTCCATCATCTGTTTTTCTATTTGTTTCTGAAAATTAAAGACAAAAATAATTATGAAACTCACCATGTAATATCTCAAAATACAGGAGTATGTTTAAATCAATTAAAATATATGTAATTTAAGAAAAATATTTTGGGACATATGATTCAATTTGCCTAGACCCTAACTTTTTAACACTGGAAATCTGTTAGAAAATGATAAGATCAGGAGCATTTGAAATACTCATCAAGGTTACTGGGCAGTAACTAGGTATCAGGCACCAAGTTAAGTATTCATCTTCTGTGAGAGTCAATATGGATTATTCCACCAGCTCTAAATACTTCTATGGCTACAGAAGCAAACTGGAGGGGGGAGAAGCCCCCATCAAGCTTGTTTAATATTGGAATTGTCTCCTAAAACTACAAGACTACTTTATAATAGGCACCATTTGCTTTAAATGGGGGGCCACATGTCACACTATTGGGTAGAGGGGTGCTCCTCTAAGGACTTCACAGATACACTGGTGACCACCGGGGGGCGCCTGTGCTGAGTCTAGGTGTGCACCATCACTCACTGGCTGAGGAGCCAGATGAGCCTGAAAGCTCACATACATCAGCCTCTCACCAAGTGAGTCACAGTTAGTGCCTCTCCTACAAATGGAGATAGTGAGACCCATCAAGAACCAGAGCTTGCCAAGCAAAATATACCCCCACATGGGAAACAATAGCATATGATCTAACCATGTGCTTTGAAGCTCATTTTTTGCATTTATAACCTCATCTCCGGCTTATTGTTTAATACAAATTAGGATCTAGTTAATAATCTTCAAAGTAAATGAGTCCATTATAATCCCGGGGATGAAAGAGGGGAAGGGAGTGGTGTGCACTGGTCACATTTTAGGTGTGGAAGAGCCCTAGCCAGGCCTGCCCCCAGGAAAAGGGTACACTATGTACCCTTACCTATGTAAGAGGAAGCTCTTGCAAAACAATACCCACAATGGTGCAACAAACATGGCCCAAGAAGGCCTAGACCAGCTATCCCCAACCCTCAGCATGCCATGTCTCCTTCTGCCCCTCACCTCATATCAACACACTAAGATCTAAGACACATGTTTGGGCATGGGGAAATCCACAGCTTAAACTTAGATAAAGGCATTTTTTAAGTGATCCAGCTTATCTCACAAGCATTCTGCACAGCCGATAATAAAGAGTTTGCTTTTCTTTACCCTGTGTACATATGCTACCCTACTTATGCATCATATGGACCTTGTAGTGCCAAAGAGCAGAATGACTTATTGAGCATTACTTTATACCCGATATTGTGCTAAGCACTTAATGCTGATTATCCTATTTCACTCTTAAACCTTGTGAGACAGTTTTAATTTTACCAATAAGGAACTAAGGCTTAAAAAGGCTAAGGAATCTTGTCAATGGCTACTTTAATCATCCTCATATTCCAATAAAGTATAGCCCATAATTTAAAGGAAGTTGTATTTTCAGCCCAACCCTCCAAATTACACAAGTTCACTTGTAACACATATCTAGTACTTAAACACACAAATCCAACAAAATAAATTTACACACGCTCTAACTGTACTGACATTGTTACTTCTCCCAATGCTATTTTATCAGCATAAGGAATATCTTACTAAAAATAGGATCTTATTCTTTTAAAAATTATTCTATATTCAACCATTAAAAAAAAATCACTTGTGGATTCAAATATCCTGAGATCTACAACATTCCAGTTACTGAGGGTAATCTGCCTATCAGGCAGTTTTAGTTGTACCCAACATATGCCCAACGCTAATTTCCATCCAGGCCAATTTATCCTGCACTGTTTATCAGTTCACTCCCCAAGACACAAGGGCTCTGCCGTGTCCCTGACTGTCCACATACCCAGTCTTCCCGCCATAGCTGTCCTGTTCCCTGCTCACTCTCTCCATCATCAACCCCTGAACTAGTTTCCTAATTGCTCTCTTGCACATTCCTTAGCCTCCTCCATGTGGCTCCACTTTCTACCTGCTGCCCAGATGTTCATTTTAGAATATTGTTAATGCCCACTGTATGGCAGGTGTGACAGCATAAATGGCCCTCAGTTTCCTTGTCTCAGGAGGGATAACACCCATCTGCTGGGAAAATTTAACTCCCTAACACATATGAAGCACTTAGCAAAATGAGTGCAGTCAATAAATGTACACCTGCTTACCCTGACATTCTTTATTGGTTTTTTTTGGGCATACTGAAGACGACAGCAACACATCCTGACATGAAGTTTCTTCTCTACTGATCTAGTTTTCCTTTTCTGTCCAGAGAATAGAGAATGGGAGAAAAAGAACTCTATATGCTTTTCTACCTTTTGATCCATTCAGAATTTTCAGACTTTTGAACTAGAATGAAGTTAATCTCCTCATAGTATAATGATTATAATGATTATGGAGGATGAAAAGGTTAGGCGTGTGGGGAATTATTAGGGAATTATCAAAATTTCTTGGTGCTGGATGAAAACCTACAACAGATATATACAGGGCTATTTCATTTCAATCCTGCCTCCAGCAATGTAGTGTAAGAGTAAATGTAAAACAAAATAAGTAACTGTTGCTTAATGGAAAGTTTAAGAGAGAAGGTAAGGAACTCTTTTGTGAATTCTGGTCATCAAAAATAGTATAATATTCTAAAAATGCTACTTAAGTATAAAATAAACTGATTTTGATATATAACAAATTAAAAATATACTTCAAAATAATGACAATATAGAGAATTCTTCTGCATTTTATTGCACTCAGTATTAAACAGAAGACATAAACATTATTTTAGAAAATCCATTGATGTACCCCAGCATCACATATATTTGTAAAGACAAGGCTCATTAATTCAGATAGCTTGAGTTAAAAAGTATTTAAAGTTGACCACAGCATAATGAAGCTTTAATTTCCAGAGTTCTAGAGATGATTACATACAAAAACCCAGTAAATTTTATTTTACTCATTTATCAATTTTATGTCACTCTTAAGTTTTCCTAAAAAAAAAAAAAAAGCTTTGTAAAAAAGCAGTGTTCTATAATTCACAATATGAATTAAGAGCTTTATTAGAATCTGAGTAATAACTCAGTATTACCCCATGTCACAGCTTTAGAAAATTATTGCTTTTCTCATTTATTTGGGTTTCACTACCCAGTGGATCAGCATGCGTGATAGGATAAGTATGTTCTATATTGATAAAAATACAAAATCTTATTGACTATAACCCTAACAGCAAGAAAAGAGTAATCTTATCTTAAAACAATATTAACATAATCAAGAGCTAACCCTGACTGGTAAATACAACTAGTTCTCATAGCTTTCTTATAGCTCATTGTCCTTTCAACATGGTGTAGCTACCTTCTTTTCTAGCAAATGAATGTTTTCATCACAGCAACTATTTCCATGCCCTTTAAAACAAATCACATTAAAATGAAACTTCAGTGTAGAAAGGAGGCGGTTCCTATGCTGTGAAACAGCAGCAGGTTTCTGGCTCTGTGAATGCTTTTCATACATCCTAATTCAACCTGCTTGGAAGGCATTATTGACAGTATTTAGTGTTATGAGGATATGACTACATGAGACAGAGGAAGAACAATCTTTCAGTTATGCACAGTTACTCATACAGATTTTCTAAAATTTAAATACTAAATGGACTATGGTTATTATATGATCATTCTGAGCTGTCAAAAAGTATTTCTGCAAGATATCGCAGGTCATTTCTCTTCCCTATGTCCTAACAAAGATTTATTTCTTCTCCCCTTTCTTTTGAAAAATAAATTAACAACAATAATTTAAAACTTTCTTTGAACTATTACATTTTTTCTAATTAACAAGTTAAATGCACAGGAATCTCAAAACTTGAGATGTGCCCTGAATACTAGAAGCTAATGGAGAAATTTTTTATAAGGATATCAGTGCAATATATACAACTCAAACCTTCACATGGAATGATGACCACTAGTAGTATTTTTAAGAATGCTAATATAAAGCTCACTTAATGGCTTTTAAATGATGTTAAAAGCAATTTACACAGTCAGTAAGTATGAATTAATAATAATATATATGTAAACCCTGCCAAGGCAATTATTGTACATCAATTAGTAATCATTGTCTGAAAACTACACATAAATGCAGGTACAACTAAATTCTGTATAATAAAATGAAAAAGAAATTCAATGGAACTGCTAATGCTATCAAAAGGACATGCAGGAATGTGACATTACATATAATTTTAGTTTCTAAAAAAAAAATACTAAAAATGCCAGTGGACTATGATTCATTCAAAACATCTTTAGTGTTCATTCCCAAAGATCTTGATCTGGTCAGTAATTACTTCACAAGATCTATCACAGTCATCTTTTGGAGCGTATGGTTAGGCTGGTCTTCCTGGTAGTGGGGGCAGTCTTTTTGAAGCTTTAAGTATCTGCAAAAATAAGGGGAAATCTAAATTAAAGGACCAACCAGACACAGACTGTGAAAATGCTCAATTTTCATTCTTATTTTAAAAATCGACCAACAGAAGTAAATGTTTTGTGTTTTCGGTGGTGGTGTTTTTAAGGACAACTTGATAAAAGAATGAGTAACTACCTAATTACCTTCCTGGGGATTACTTGCAAAGCTGCTGATGCAGATATGGGTCTTTAGACTATCTGACAATTACAACTGAATTTAAGAATTTCAATATTCTGAGAAATGTAAGCATTAGATTTCTTCCATCAGTGTTTTCACTGTATTAAAGAGATGTTTAATCGAGGGAAAAAAATGAGCATGGTATTTGAAAAACAAAGGAAGGATTTTCAAGGAGCCACTAAACACTCAAGTTGCAGTTAAACTATACTTTAATATGTCAATTTTTAATGTTATTGCCAATACAGTTAGAAAAAAGTATGACAGTATTTAAAAAGAAGCAAGAACTAAATTCATTCTTGTTTAGCTTTTTAAAAAATTTTCTTATTCCAAGCTTTAGTATTTCTTTCATTTTACCGCCATAGCGTTGGATCTGTGTTATAACAGAGTAGAAAAGCAA